ACTCTGTCAAGAGCCCAGGCCCTCCTCCATCCTTCTCCACTTGCCCCCCAACACAAAAACATCCACACATCTCCTGGAACCCCAATGGTACCCTGGCCAGAGGTGGGGACCTGTGGAGTGGTGGAGGCAAATTCCTTGCGTCCTGACTCCCGCGGCCCCACTTGGCTGGTCCCTGCTTTCTCAGGCGCCAAAATGGCGTTTCCTACGAGAACTAGAGGACTATGGAAAACCCAGGACTAGAGAGCCCCGTGTTCCCTCCTCAGATCTCCCTGGCTCTGTTTAACGTTTTCTTGTGTGGCACACCATCAAGACATGCTTTGGGGGTGGGAACAACAGGGTGGGGGCAAGGCCCGAGTCTGAGTCCGGGTGTGGGCTGCTGAGTTCAGGGTGAGAGGAGGAGACTACCCTGGAGGCATAGCAATACCCCGGCTCCTCCCCCCTCTCCCCTCTGCGCTCGACCTTTGTGTCCCCAAGCAGGTGAGTCCGCCAGGTGCCCACAAGGGCTGGATTCTACCTTCATTCGTTTTCACCTTTGAGGCTTGAATGGGTATGGAAACTCGCTGGGAACAAAGACAAGGCAAACATGGTCAGGGGAACAGAAAGGGAGGGAGATTCCCCCTCCCAGTGCGCTGTGTCCTTTAGGGTCGCTTGAGCAAAACTCTTGGCTTCCGGCTGCCTCGGGGGAAGGGGTGACAAGCCATTAGGAACCGTGTTTGGTGGACGCCTAACAGAGAAGCGGTTATATTCATCTGGCATTATCTGCGCAAAGGTTATATGTCCAGTGTGCACTCTGGTGGGGGCCGCAGCCTCTCACTGGGTCTAGTGGAGTGTGGAATGGACGACTGGCTTGTTAGAGGTTTTATGCAGTGGGTGAGTAGCTGCTCCGGTTTATTTTCAGAACTTCTGCATAGTTTCCCGTTTAAGTAAATATTTTCGGGGTTAGCTTTCCAAGGGGGAGGGAAAGAGGGAAGTTATAACGGGGCTATGCTGGAATAAAGCTCCAGGACAGGCATGCTGCCTCCTACCGGCCAGGGAGAGCTCCCGGCAAACCCCAGGGATCCCACTTGGGGCCGGAGAGAAGGTGCGGCAGGTGGGATCCCTGACCCTCTGCCCCCTCTGGCCAAGATCATCGCTTTCGCTGGGAGACAGCCACTGAGACCTTCAAAGCAAGCTGTGCTGCAAGGCGGTTCCCCAGGCCCAGTGGACGAGGACTGGCTGCTGGCAGGGGCACCAGTTGTGAGTGTGGGTTTGCGTGCTACTGGGGAGAAACACCGTGTATATTTGCATGTGTGTGTGTGAGTTCATGTAAGCGGGAGAGACTCTTTTGTGTACATGTCTCACATGCCCGGGGCAGGAGAGTGTTCTGGTTTTGCCCAAGCACACGTGTTTGTGTGGATGGAGAGTGTGTGTGTTTGCTTCTCTGTGTGTGTGAACACATGTATGACAGGGTCAGTGTGTTTCCCAGTGTGGCAACTGTTTGAAAGGGGGGGTGTTTCTGGTGCCTTCCACGGCGCCTGGCACATAACAGGCTTTCAATCCGAGTGAATCGAACAATGAGTGTGTATGTTGGTGTCCTTGTGAAAGTTTGTATAAAGCCTGTTTTCCTGGGAGTGTAAGTCTGGAAAATAGGAGGCAGGTAGGGGTGATGTGGCCTCCAGGGGCTACGGTGTTTTCTCCCTTCCCAGAAGTAAGAGGGGGGTGGGTGGCTGGTGGGTCAGCTCTGCTGGCTCAAGGTGGCTTCTCAGGTCGCTTGAATGGCTCTGGTCCCCAAGGCCATAGCTGCCTCTACACTCCACCAGTCAGCGAAGGTCAGGCCGCTGGGGCCCTTATAGGCACAGATCAGGGCCAGAGGGGACCTGAGTTGTCCCCTAGAGTAGAGCCTCCAGGAGAGGCTGAAGGATCTGCCAGGGCTGGAGTTCCTCTTGGGGTTCGGGGCTGGGCCCTGAAAAGCAGTCTTAGCCTGCTGGCGATTCCTTTGACCTTCAGGCCCTTACAGGGCAAAGGCCAAGGTGTAGCCTCCGCACGCACCCCAGTGCGTGCGCACCCCAGTGAGCCTGCCCAGATGTCCGCGTCTGCGCGAGTCTCGGCCGGGAAGGAATCCTCCGTACTTAGAAACTCCGCGAGAAAGGGTCCTTGAGCGCTCATTTCATCAGAAAGGAAAGTCCCCAGAGAGGTCGCCACACTCTAGGATCTCGTCGTCGGAAGAGCGCCTTATTCCCTGTTTCCCTTGGGGTCCGGGTGGCGGGGTCTGGTAGTGGAGGAGGAACGTGTTCGGTAATCACAGCCGCCCCGACTTGAGATGGAAAAGCCACAACTGCCTCCTGGAGGAGTCCAGCATGCTTCGGATCTGCCTGGATAGGCTTAGACGGGTCGCTTAATTTGGGGGGAGAGGTGGGACTGGATCCCCAAGAAGGGAGAGGGTGCTGCAGGTTAATTTACCGCTACCGAGGCACGTACTACTGTGCACGGCGCAGAGGCGCCCCCTCGGTCTCACCGGCCAAGCCCTGGCGCCCCCTTGCTCCGATGTAGAACATGCGCCCGCGGGCCGGCCTCCCCGAGTCTCCTCGGGCCTCCCTTCTCCCCTATCCTTTCATCGCCTTTTCCAAACGACAGATTTCTAAGCGTGGAGACCTTTGCTCCACGTCCACACGCACGACGTGGGCTTTGCGGCTGGCTCAGCGGCTGCCCTTGGGGCCAGGGAATCTGCCCAGGGCGTCCCACCAGGTTCTGGGGACTGTGACTACCACTAAGGAAGGAAACCTCCGTGGCCTGATTTGTTCCCCAGCGTTGGCGTCTCCAAACACACCAACAACGCGCCGTTCGGCAAACAGCTTCTCTTTTTTTACTCCCATCCCCAAAATGAAGAAAAAGGAGGGTGAGGGCCCTGCTCCGCTGGCGGAAGGAGAAGAGACCCCAAGAGGAGCAGGCCACCCCCTCCCCGCTTTTACAGGGAGCCTTCCGGACCAGAGGAGGGACAGTGAGCTTTGGGGGCGGGGGACGCGGGTTTCGAGTTTTCAGTCCCTTCACCTGAGGGCTGATACACATCGTGTATGTGGGAAGGCGGCTCCCGGTTCCTGGGGCTCATGGGACACCGCTGCCCAGAGCGGTCCCCCCAGGGTGTCCAGTCCCTGTAGGGAAATCAGACACTGCTGCACTCCCGGCTCGTGGGCCTCATGGTATAGATCCATATATATATTTATGATTTCTAATTTTATTATAAAATAAAAGCAGAAATATTTCCCGAAGAACATTCACATGAGGGCGTAACAGGGAGACGGCAAGTCCGCGGCTCGGGAGGCGCACTCTGCCGGGGGCACTGTGGCCACAGTCCGGGAGGAAGAGGGGAGAGGGTGGCGGGCCTCATGGGGAGGGGGAGAGAGAGGGAGG